TCCTACGAGCACCTCACTAAGCCATGCTGAAGCAGGTTCGATGCCTCACATTTCTTTGCTGGAGACAGCCGCACACAGACTGGGTCTGCCAAGGATTTGTATATAGTCATTAGATAAAAAAAAAAATAATAAAGAAAAAAAACTACAAAAACATATAAACATTGGTAATTACCACATCCTGGCAACAAAAATATCTCAAATATTTAAATGCAAATCTGTTTTTCTTGTTTTATTTGTGATTGTTTTTCCCCGAGCAGTAACGTTCTTGTGATTTACTGTAATGTAAATGTTTTGATACTACCGATGCTAATACTAACTCGCTCCACTCTCATTGTTCTCCAGTGTTTTTGTTTTTTCCTCCAGTAGATCAACTTTTTATTTTTTTTTGTATTAATTTTAACTGTCAAAATTTAAAAAATTTGATTGCCTTCTTTCAGGTTGGGGTTTTTCCCCCTTTTTAAGCTTGTTGTATATGTGATTTAAAACAAAGTTTTATATACCTAGTTTGAGATTTTTCAGAGGCAAATAGTTTTCTGAAACTTTTTATTTTGTAAGAGTTTCTATTATCTTTTAGACTTCTTTTTTTTTGTTTTTGCTTTTGTATTTATGTTTTTGTCTGTAGAAGGATTTGCTGGTGTTCATCTCGTCGTTCAGGGGATGTTGTGCTGATGAGCCATGTTGTCAGTAGCAGACCTGGGTTGATTATGATGTGATTGGCTTTTTGAATTTTGTAGCAAAATGGATAAATTTGCTGACAACGTATTTTTGAGCATTCAAGTACCACGTCTGCACGGCTCCCACCCAGTTAATCGAAATGTCTCGACACATGGTGTCAAGGTCTTTACCTCCCGACGAAATAATAGGAAATACTGACACATGTTTCCTTTAAGATGTCTGCGAGTATGAGCTGACCTCGACCTCAGACGGAGGAGAAATCTGATTAGGTTTCACACAATCTGTCAACTTCAGCAAGTGGAGAAATTTCCCTCTTTATTTTTAGGGAGTGAAAATCTTTTCCAGGTCAGGAGAGAAAAAAATGCATATTTCAGTGTTAATCAGCTCCAGTTGGTCAGTGAGCATGGGAGAGATATGTATGTTCTGCTGCTTAATGTCACCACAATGGTGAATCGGGGGGGGGGGAGGTGGAGGTCAGGGTCTATGCGTAGATCTCTGTGGTGGGGGCTTTCTTGTAGATGGGCTTCTTCCCCAAATCGTAGCTTCCCTCGTCCTTCTTCTTCATGCGGTAGATGAGGAGGAGGATGAGGAGAACGGCGAACATCAGGCCGACGGCGCCGCCCGCGATCAGAGCTGGAAGAAACCAACAAATGAGTACATTTAAAAAGGTTTCATAGACGAGATTAAACATTAATACATCAGCTACCAACCCCGTGACGTCTACTGACCTGCGAGGACCTCCGTCTTGTTAAAGATGCTCTCGTCGCTGGCGTGTGACATGAGGACGTTGGACGGCAGCTCCTCGCCGGGCTCGGGCTCCTTCTTCAGCACGGGGATTTCGTTGCTGTTCTGGACGATTTCCACCTCGTTGACGGCCGGCTGGTCGGGGCGCCCCACCTCTGGGATCTTGTTGTCGTTCACATCAGGCTGAAGATGAAGAGAGGGATTTTAAAAAACGCCATCCTGCCGTCTCGGTACGCACAAAGTCACCAAACTGAACCCTGAGCAACATTACCCCACTACTCTACGGTTAAAGATGAAATCAAATCTCACAATCTAGAAATGTCTTACCTTAACTGAAGGCTTGGACTCTCTTACAGGTGACTCTGTTGTTGCTGTGGAGAGAAGAAGATTTATTATTTCATCTTTAAAACGGTTTCATATAAAGTTCAGAGCTGATTTTCATTCAAATACGCAGATTTAAAATGTTACGAAGGTAAAGACCGACCTCCGTCACCAGATCCAGAGGACTCGTCGTACTCCAGATCATCCTCGTCATCGTTATCGTAGAACTCGTCGATGTCTTCGTAGTTATCATCGTCCTCCTCGTAGTATTCTTCGTCGTCTTCATCGTCTGTGAAGCCGAAGTCTGAGCTGTGCGGGGAGTCTCCTGATGCCTCCAGGCTGTCACGTTGTGTTGACGTGGCGGCCGTCTGTGTGGTCTTCATGGGCATCCATGTCTCCGTCTCCCTCACCTGCTGGGACACCAGAGACAGAAGGGGTTAGAGGGATCACCGGAACCATTCGGACCCATCCTCCGAGCACCGTGGAGAACTCTTCCAAACCTCGTGGCAATGCATCAGATAGTTGTTACAGAGCCAGGACGCTAAAATCATTCACCTCCGAACAACAGTCCATTTTAGAACAGCTAACCAGGAATCACCTGGACGATCTAAACCACAGACAAGACACACGTCTCTGATGTGTTCAGACCTACGATCAGAGCCAGAGCAGAAAAACACTCAGTCCAAGCTCTGAACCTGAATCCTCAGCCACAGTCCCACCGGAACCGTCCACTACGTCACATTAATGTGTGTTAACGTGCTAACAGACAGGATATATAATCACACATCCACGTCTCTTCCTGCCGTCCTGAAGACACACAGACAAAAACAGAGGTTTGCGAAAGAGAAGCCACTATTAGATGGTGACAGCAAACATTCAGTTCAATCATTAAAAACATATAAAAGCAGCGAATGTTTGAAACCAGAGAATATCTTGTGCCAGTTGTACGTATTAAACGACTTATTTAGAGCTGAAACCATTAGTCCACTGACAGAAAACTATTCATGTTTCAACTCCAGCTATATACTAACAGCTATACAATTTAAAGACGTCTTTACGGGCTTTGTGATGCAGCGGTTAACAGTTGGCAGATAAAGCAGTAATTAAAATAATCATTGGTTGCAGGCCCACATCAGAAAGAGGACTAAAGCATCACAGTTCTAATCACCATGAAGCTTTAACATAAATACGAAGCACAGCATCACCTGCTTGAATCACATGAGCCACACGGAAATGCAGTGACCAGGCTCGGAAGCAGGAAGGGGAGGAAGACACCAACACGGGCCGGCGCGGCCGGCGAAGGCGTTTCCTAGCCCGTCGCCTCTGCTCGTGTTTCTGTTGGTCTCTGTGGGTTCGCGACCGATGAGCCGGTCTTTCTTTAGTTTAACGCGCCATAAATAGACATATTTCAACTCATTTGTGTTCGTCCCCTTCTTGGGTCAGCTCTGAGCCAGTTTGCCCATTATGATAAAATCACTTTGTAAACCCATCGTTAAAGACGCTTTTCACCTTCTCGTTCCAATCCTACTGAGCACCTTGTATCTGACGTCATAGTACCTGCCTGTTATACCTTGTCTTTTGTAATGTGTTATCTAGACGTCTTGTGGTCATCTTATTTCTTGTTTATAAACTCGGTTCTGTTTATTGTAAAGCACTTGAACCTTGTTTGCGAAGGCTTGCTATTTGAAATCACTTTGTTTCCCATTTCCATCCATTCGATTTTGTTATTTATTGACAGCCGAGAGCCCCCTCCAGGGTGTTAGGGGGTAAAGGATAAAGCAAAGACTGTGAAACAACAGACTGTAGATGCTGGAATGTGACCTAGCTGTCGCGTGACATTTTAAAATGAAGACCCACAATCCAAGCGCTTCAATTATCAGCCTGAAACTTCAGCTTAATCTGCGAACAAAAGCGGACCACAAATCACAACTGAACACGAGCCTGACACACACCACACACACACACAACCACAACACACCACAACACAACACAGACCACACAGACACACACAACGCTCTGCCTGAAACATCCAT